GGGGGGGGGGGGGAAGAGAGAGAGACATAAAGAGAGGGAGAGAGGCAGAGAGGCAGAGAGGGAGGAGAGTGGGAAGAGGGGGCCGTAAAGCTAGCGAGCTTGCATGCCCACCTTGTTCCTTTGCCACGTTTATTGTTGCGTTTTTAATTTGCATGCAGAGGGATTTGGATGGCGCTCTAGTTGGGCTGTCTGTGGTTTCAGCTGATTCGGTAGTGAGGGAGAGAACACACACACACACACACACACATGCACGCAAGACAAAACACAAACAGACGCACACAAACCACCCCACACCATCTTGTCAAAGCCAGGGAAACAGTACCCCGGCCCAACGATGGAGTAATCCAACTCAAACACTCCCCAAACCAGCAGGATTAAACCCAAAGTAGCAGAGCCAGTCAAACAAAGGCACGACGTGAACTCCATTCCAATGCCAGGAAGTCCATTTGATGAAATAAAGTAGAGAGAGTTTATTAGTTCACGAGTGTGAACGTTTGTTTGTGGCGGCTTTTTACTTTGTCGCGCGTGTTTGATCGCTTCAGCCTCAACAGAGGAACATGTTTTCATTTTTTTTTGTGTGTGTGTGTGTCGAAGCAGCAGTTAGCGCTGCTCCTGGCCGGCACCGTGGACATTGGACAGTCAGCATTTTCCACGGCAGCTTCAAGAGCTTTGTTTGTGTTTGTCTAATTGCATTGCTTCCACAGGACGGCCGGGCGACAGCGGGGGGAGACAGAGAGGTGAGAGACAAAGATGGTGAGAAAGCAGGAAGACAAAGAGTGAACGAAAAAGGAATCTGACTCCAGTTTTGAAAGTTTAACTCACAGAGTCGATGCATTCCACTTATTTCTTCCGGTGACTTGAAGTTGTATGAAAGTTTATCGAGAGATCAGAATTACTATTTTGTGTTGAACATTCCCTCGCTGTGGTGAAATTACCGCACTGATTCTGTTTTCCTCCTTTTACTGTTTAATGTGATTTGTTGAGCCTCTCCACCGCGGCGGACAAGCACCGACCGCTCTTGATTGGATCATGGACGTCGCTGCCCCTGTTGCTAAAGTGTTCCAACACAGTCCAGAAAACAAAAAAATCTAGGGCTCTTCAATCCAGGGTACTCTGCGTTTTGTTGAAGATCATTAAGGACTCTCTATAAATAAACAGAACAGGTAGTTCAGAGCAGGCCATTACACACTCAGTGTGTTTCACAGCAACCCCCTGTTCTGTCAAGAAACCGTCTCATGTCACTGCACGAGCTGCAGGAACCAGACGACTGGTGCAAGATGAGCCTGATTATCACTGAGAGTAAAAAAACCTACACTCCTGTTAGAAACAGTAGAAACTGATGCAACAGATTTGTTTTTTTAATTAGACTTCATGTTTGAGTCTCACACCTCTTCTCATCGGCCCACTCTCCGCTGAACCACAGGCAGACGATTCCAGTAAAAGTGAAACACGGGTCCAGCAGGGAAACTGCAGACAGTTAATGACGGAGGATAAAAGATTTACTTTGGTCGGGACGCTCGTGTTGCTCTGTGTCTGCTGCGTGTTGTTAATGCGTTGCAAATATTTTTTAAGTGAATGGTTTAAATGTGTTGAATGTTTGTTTGGTTGAACGATAGTAGAGTAATCTATTACATATCACGTGAGAGTAAATGTGAGGGTTGTTGTTTATTGTCAGTGTTACGTTACTCTCATCTTCGGCCCTGAAAAACTGTGTGAGAGTTTTTATCCCTCTCTTTTTTTTTTTTTTACTGTTTTCATTGACATTTTATTGACTAAACAACGAAGCCTTAAATTTGTTGTTACGCTTCATAAAATTGGCAAATGATTTGTTTCAAAATGAAACAGCATCAAATGTAGAAATACAACCCTGTAAAAAATAATAATAACAAGCATGTTCAGAAACACTGGGTGAAATTTCTAACATCTTTTTAAAAAAAATCCTCAATCAAGCAACTAATCAACTAATTGTGGAAATAGAAAGCAGATCAATTAAAATAATTTCAGCCATAATTCAGACCGTCATTGTGCACAGAAGATGTTTCTTAGACTGAAGGTAAGATGACTTCTGAAAACCTTGACGGTATTAATGACGCTGACGACTCTAGAAACTGTGAAGAGTTTGTTCAAAGCGCATTTCTACATGTCAGTGTCATTCAGCAGATCACTGAAGTACATCCTCATGACGCAGCTTAAGAAAACCTGGCGAGGCCGTGGAGAAAAACACATTTACTAAGCATTCAGACCAGAAACAAACTTTTGAATCGACGCACTGAAGTAAACCGCTGTACCACAGATGCTGCAAACAGGTTCATCGAAGCAATAAGTACCGACAGGCATGGGATTATCTTGCTGTGTTGGCACACACCTGCGACAATATTGCCCAATAATCCGCCGCCTCTGGGTCATTGTTGCTTAATTATTAATTAGTTTAAAACAACGGGACGAGCAATCAAGAAGCCGCAGCCTTTTCTTGTTTCGCAGCGGACGCAGATCTGACCACAGGCTCTCGGGTCATAAGGTGCCAAATTAAAAGGGTAATAAACTCTT